CGACATTCAATGTTGAACACGTAACTGTAGTAATATTTGATCCCTTCTTGGTTTTGTACTTGATTTCTACCTAAGACTGTTACCCCCCCCCGGTATAGTACAGCCAAGGGACATGTCATTAGGCCATGAGAATGAATATCCCGGATTTCAGCCTCTGTCCACCGCCTGCATACCACTGAAACAGCTGTCAAAAAATGTCATTATTTTCCAAAAAGTTATTTCTGAAAAATTGTTGTTTACCCATCGGGAATGGTTAAAGAAATGGCTGCGAAGTAAATCGGGAGTTCGTAGTGTGGCCGCGTACAAATAGTGTGATGCAAGACGGACTGAGAGCTTGTCTACTTTCAAGATTGGTTCCCTTCGCATGGACGCATACTCGCTATCAATGTGCAGTATGTACACCAATTAATGAATAATGCAAAAAAGCCTCATGGGTTTCCAGACGAAAATTCAGGATGTTTATTCTCATGGCCTTACGTAATAAACCACTGGGGCGTGACCATGCTTGCACGGCTCTACAAGCTGACACGCCTGACAGTCTCATGTACAGAATCACCGTATTCACATTGATTTTGTAGTGGACTCATTGCAGTAATACATGTATTTGCCACCAGTCAGGTAAGCCAGGCTGCAAATGCAACATCACGCCATGTAACAAAAATTACATGTAAATGGTAATCGTCCTTGCCCTGACCCTCCAAAATGCCCTGACCCATTCTTTCAAAAAATTTTTTTAGTTTGAAAAGGGGGGGTTGTAAAAAAGTGCCGAAAATTTACACAAGAACCTATTCCAAGCTTACCCTTCGATCTGAGAATTTGCGCAAGACTACATGTACATGTACTTCACTTTTGATTGGAGGCTGTTCCATCTGCTCCACTCAATTTAAGGAAAGGGTGGTAAAATGGAACGGCACCACTGACTAATCAGACACAGCTGCTTCCGAATTATTGGCTGTGACTGCATGCAAAAACATACAGTCCAACCTTGTTAACAAGAGAACTGTTGATACAAGATTCTGTTGATATATTAAAGAAATGTTTAGGTCCCATTTCATTGCTTTCCTCTGGGTTTCTATTCCGGAAAGAGTTCCATGTATGGACAACACTAATTGTCCCTTAAAATGTTATAACAGCCATCCGAAAGTGATAAATCATTTACAATCATTTAAAATCACCATTTTTTTTTACACGGCCTAACCATTTGATATTCAATGTTGACTGAGTAACAGTTTGATATTAAGGATGTGCAAAAGACAAAAAAAAAAAAAAAAGCTGCGCCACCACACACATACATGTAGGCCTACTGTACTAATAGTATTCATTAACGTGTAGCTTCTTTCTTTATATTGTACAATATGCCACCGGTATTTCTCCATGATCACACAACTCTCTCCCATAGAGACAACCCGGGGCATTCTTCGGGGTCAAGCAAGCCCTCAAATGTCAAACTGGCTTTAACTAAAGTCCTGTCCGTGGATTTATGATACATTATATGCTATCAGAAAGTATTAAACAACATCTCCAAAAAAATTAAAGATAGCAGCGAAAATATTATAAAGCATTTACTCAGAAAACACTTGGAATGTTTTCAAAGCAGTCTCACAGGATTTGTGCACATGTCCTTGTACTAGGATGAACACTAGTATCCATCTTGGGCTAATGTGAGACCTTATGTAAAGCCATGTAGGCATCCATTCTCATTCTAATTACCAAGTGTCTCATTTTTATATACAGGCATACCCCCTTCACCCCAAAAACCTCACTCTTAAAACTATTAAAATACCAGGGTCCAGGATTGCGGAATT